CGGGGAGCAGCCGCCGCCCTCCCCACCCGCGAGGCGCGGGTGCCCCCGCGCGGCTCCTCGGGGAAGAGCTCACAGCGGGAGGGCAGCCGGGCCCAACCCCGCTGCTGCAGGCACGACTTTCTAAGCAGCTGGGCAAGAATAGCTCCACGCTAAGTGACGGGTTTGAGAGGAGTATTCCAATTGGGAGGATTAAGATTTATGTTGAGTCAATTCACTTTTCACAGCAGCCGAGTCACAACAGTATCCAATCGCTCATTCAGTTCCTGCTTATGCTTCTCCTCCACTTCATCGGCTATTAGACACCTCAAATTGAAGATGGCAAAAATTAAATGTTCTCACTTCAAAGCCCCTGATCCTCTCTATTCATCAACTTTATTTTCGCAGCTGTTTATAGACCTGGCCAATGTTGCAGTTCCAGATACGAGAATTTAAAATGTACCATGTTAAGAGACTTACGTTAGCCAATTATTGTATCACTTTAATTTCAAAAGGCCCCAAAGATCCACATAATTAAAAACTACCAGTAATATAGGCAAAGCTAGAAAACAGTAGTTGTGGATCAAAATAGTGACTCTCTAATTAAAGTAAATGTGAAGAGAGGATTATTGATGAAAGATATGACTGCCATTTTTTGTTTGAAGAATTCATCTTCCTATGAATTACTGAGTGAGTATGCGCAACACAAGTCAGAGACTTCAAACCACTCACTCTCTAGCAAAGAAGTACCGAGAGGAATGCCACCAACAGCGTCATGTAGTCTTAACTTCTTCAGGCTGCCCAGCTACTTAGGGAAAATTGGAAAGGATATGCTCAGTAGCGTGTCATAACCCATTTTCCACGCTTTTTTCCCCCTTGTTCATTTCTAGTTAACACAGTTGTTAATCATGCTTCTTTTCTGAAAATCTGAGCAAGTCTGCACAACCATATAAAATTATGGATTATTAAAAACTGGAATAGGTGACACCATATTACAGTGCACTGATAGAGAGAAGAGCCTTAGAACCACAAGTCCACAAAATTTTTTATTAAAATAACACCAAGTTTAAGAAATTGATGCAATGCAAAGAAACGTCAACTCATCATCCAAAAAAAAAAAAAAAAAAGATTTTCCATCCTTAAGTATGGAAACTGCATTCCAATCCTGACATGATTGACATAATACAGAAAGAGAGACACTGTATCCCAGCTGAACGTCAAAGTTAAAGACTGGCATGCTGCGCAAGGAAGGTTCTTATTCTTTGCAAGAGTTCTTTCTTTACACTGTCTGGTACCAGGGCTGAAACATAAATAAGAAAGCAAGAAGTAAAAAAGACAAAATGGAAAATATGCTAATACCAGCCTTTTACAACAGCTACTTCTATTCTTTCTTTGTTCTTGCAATTCTGTTAATACCTAAAGTAACTGAAGCTACTTGATTTTCATATAGCATATCTACTTTTCTCCCATTCAAAACAGGCTAAAATTGAAGTCTATTGAGAACGCTGTTGTTACTGGCAGTTAATAGTTAGCCTAGCCATAGTCAAGAAAATTGGAAAGTTTGAGGGAAAGGATTATTCAACTGTAAACAGGATGTAATAATCAGAAACTAGTTTGATTATCCTACTTCTTTTCTCACAAATTTAAGACCCCAAAAAAAAAAAAATCTCAGCCATGACCTCAGTCTTAAGAGACTGCATTTTTCTGTATCTGTATGCTATGTGCTTTCCTTTTCCCGCTTCCCATTACACTAGTACTGTTAGTACAGATTTTCCATCTTAAAAAGAATTGGAATTTTAAAACATCTCTGCCTCATAGCCCAAGTTTCCTTGGGACCATTAAGTCAATTATAAAGATGAATACAGACTCATGACTAAATAATGTAACCTGCAAAAGTAGTCAACACACACAGCTCTTTATAGATTTTGAATGTCTGTTACACAATACAAATTCATGTTTTATTTGTAGTTAATATCAAGCTATTAACATTTTTTCCTTGAATCCAACACAGGCAAGTTCATAGTGCTGCTTTCAAAATATTAATGAAATACAGGAATGTATGTTTATTGATGTATGACCACATCCATGTTTGCATTTTCTTACCTCTGCCTTTGGGAGTGATTTCTGCCACCAAATCATCAACAGTAACATGCTCTAATCCTTTTTCTTTAATGACATCTGGGGAAGACCAAGACACATAATTTTAAGCCTTTTAATCCATTCATTAGAAGACAAAACCTGCATGCATAGGTCATCGGAGAAGATGAAGTAGCTTGTGACCTAAATGTAGGTTATTAACTCAGTATCTACACTGCATTGTACAGTGGATTTCGTCTCTTATTCATACCGTAGGTTTAAGGATGGGAACTTGTCACTACTAATGCATCTTGATCAGCTCATATTTTAAAATCAAATCTTACCAAGTTTAAGCTTTTCTGAGCATTACCGGATGTGCATATTACTGGAGTGTTGTAGCAGTTCACAAGTTGGTCTGCTTATCTCTTCAAACACATTATTTACATAATAGTGAGAAAGAGATGCAATTGGAAAAAGACTTTGGGACATAGAACAAGGGAGAGCACAGAGACAGTAAATATTAGTCTTCCTAACTGGCTTAAACATCTCTCCATATATTTCAGCAAAGTAAAAAAGCGTATCTGAAAGAAAGGTATACATCTACAGCAAGATAAAAGCTATGATTAAGATATACTGTATGATTAATACATACCAGTATTTAAACAAATTATCTACTTACAGTGCCTTGAAGACTACTGAAAAATGCAGAAGTCCATGCTGAGAAGAAACCTCAATTCAGCAGCATAAACCTAAAATATTTTGCCTAAACATGACTGTTTTTAACTATATGTCAGTACATAGGATTGATTGTCCCCAAGACACTAAGTATGTTTTCTGAACTGACATCACATGGACTATTTGCAAACTTTTTCTTGGCTGAATTCCCTTGTAGAAATTAATCCTGGATTGCTCAGTTATTTGCCCTAATCCACAATGGCAAGAGGCTCTAGAACAAGCTACCAAAAAACTGCCACACACCCTAACAAAACCAACAACCCGCCAAAATCCTTCTTTGTCCTTTCTATCGGAGGTTATTAGGCTCTTAACAGGGACAACCAAACTTACATTTGCATTCCCAGCAGCTGCAATTACAGTTCAAAATACTAATGTAAACAAAACAATTTTACATAACTTTACTATAGCAGAGTACAAAGTGTACAGTTGAGAAGGCAGATAAACATCCCTTTCGCTATCTGTACTACTGAAATGGGTAATCTCTGGCAGTGGCATCAGGCAGACAACTGCAAGCATGAATCATTTCAGCCTTCTCTGCAAATCCCACTATGAAAACAATTTAACACACTCAGCCCTACAAAAAGAAAAACTTTGTAATGGAATGTTGAGTTGCTGGGCACAACAGACCAAACCAGAATTAACGCGAAAGCTCAAGGGATTTGTTGTTTGCTTTAAGGAAATTTCATCATGCAGTAATATTCCTGGATGCTTAAATACTATTTATAATAGTTTCATACAATTTACAAGGCAATAAGTTGTAGTAATACTAAATACTTAACTCAAAACTAAAGATTTGGGTATTTAGAGGCTCATCTGCTTGTTTTCTCTCATCTAAGTAGATGATCTTATTTTCAAGAATTGTGTTCAGAGAGAGTACAAATGCACTTCTTTCTCTCCCCTATGCAGACAACAGAGTTCTCTAAAGTTTCTAAGTTGTGCACCACTCTATTTGCTCCGTTTTCCTTTATCTTGGTTTTTATTCTCCTGTGGTAAGGAAGTGATTTCTCTCAAAACAAAAAGCTGTATCATCATGAATATTTAGGGAACCAAGTCCAATCTTTTCTCAGAAGCTTAATAAGTTTCAGATCAGAGAAGTTTCAAGATTATTTTTTTTTGCCAAGCTGGCAAGATACTTTCTTGCATGCAAAACCAACTGTCAGGGACACTTTCCTCTTGCCCAAGTCTCATTTAAATTGACTGTTAGGCAGTAAAGCTTTCATCTGGGACTTTCATTTGGTCAGAACCTCAGATGATTACAAAGGATATTAGTTATTTGACCACCGTTACCTTTGCAGTGTGCCTTCAACTGATCTTTCCAGCCGCATTCAATTAATTTGGCTCTCAGCAACTCTTTAAGGCTGTTAAGACAATACACAAACTTGTTAGGAACAGCAAATGTTCCCGACAGCTTAAATATGCTTCAGTGTGAAAGTTAAGCTTACAATTACTGCTCATAGCAGAACTCCCAGACCAGCAGCAGAAATGGCTGAACAGCAGCACGTGAATCCTAACCCGAATGAGTACCAGTTTCAGTTTACCATGTTGGACTATGAGGAGTCCGCGGCTCAGGAGCTAATTCACAGTATTTCTTCAGGCAGCATTGATGCTGCAGCCACAGAAAAGAGGTAGAAGGCCTTGAATCACTTGAACTGCCCGAGTCTACTCTGTTAGCAAATGTATGCCAACTTTCAAAGTTAGAATATTTCACCTGAAACCAGGCCTTCAAAATAAATAAAACATTCCCCCCTCCTTTCTGGAAGCAGAATTCTGTCCTACTGTCTTCAACTGCAGGTTTCTCTCCCCAGTTACACTTTACCTCACGTTCGGTGAAGACGAAGGGATCGTGTATCTTATCTTCCTAAGCGTGGTTAGCAATTATAAGCATAAGCAACAAGGATTCAGGGATTAAACAGAGAAGACACACAACAATCTGCCACAATGATACATCTACTCCATATATCAAAAGAGAATATTGAAAGCTAGCTAAAAAAGTGAAAATTAGTACTGAAAAACAGAAGGGAAAATGAAAGTTATGATAAAATAAGCTTTAATATCTTCATCCTTTATTCCATCAGCTAGCAAGCCTACTTATTTTGTACCATCCTAAATAACTCTAGCAAAATTCTGTTTCTGTGAATGAAAGGATTGCAGCAAGAGGCTGAATTGTGTCAGTCTAATCCTTTTTACTCAGTGAATTGTGTAGAGGGCAGATGAGCTGATAACAAAAAGCAGAGTAACAATACAGGTGAAATTCACTGCTTCCAGATATTTCTTAATTCAAGAAATCCGAGTGCTCTGTCTCTGATCATAGTACAGCTCTGATAAAGCTTGTTTCTAATACAGCTTCTGACATCCAGTCAAAACTCTTCTTACCCTTAAATTAAAGTAAAATAGGTCCCAATACCATTTCAAGAAAATTGCTTGCTCTGCTGACGCTCTGTGCCATCTCCAAGGGGCCTGTCACAACCAGGGAAGCAGCAGAGCACAGACACCAGCTCAGCCTACAGAAGGTTACACTAGGTACGGGGCTATGCGATGACCTAGGAAGAAGACTCCTTCTCACACAGGCCTTGAAGAATGAAGGAAATAGAGCTTTTTGTGTGTGGTGTTACAAATACAGTGAAATGACGAGGAGGGAAATGTCATAAGCATGCTAGCGATATGTAAATACAATGCAAATAGAACAGACTGAAGAGACAAAAGGCCGAAAAGTAGCTGCCACACTACATCGCGTAATTTACTCGTTTGCCTTTATGGGGATCTCTACAATGACTTGCACAAATGTGTTCCACGGAACACAAGAAAAGCCTGAAAGCAAAA